CCGCAGCCCCCGAGCCCCCCGGCCGGGCAGGGGCGACGCGCGGGGCCCCGGGCGGCCCCGGGGGGAGAGGATTGCTGCTGCCGCCGCCTGCCCTTCCACACTGCATTTTTAATGGAAACATGGCGATCTCGGCTCAGACCTGCAGCGCATCTTCCGTGGTCCCGGCTCTGTGCGGCCACATCGTCCTGCTCCTCGTCCTCTCCGCCCCCGCCGCGGACTGCTACAGCTTCCCCCAGCAGTACACGTAAGTCGGCCCCTTCCCCCCGCGCTGCCTCCCAACTTGCCCCTTCCCCGGGGCTCGTGGCGGCGCCGGGCATCTCCCGCTCCAGCCCTCGGGAGCTCCGCCTCGGGCTGCGCAGCCCTGGTGGGGGGCGCGGGGGCCAGCAGCGCACAGGTTGCGCCCTCCAGCCCCGGGGATGTGGAGTTGGCAGCGCAGGACGCTCCTCACTAGCCACCCCGAGGTGCAGCTGGTCCTCCTAACTTCAGCCCCTGGGGGTTGGGGTCTGCACGTCAGGGCAGAAGGGAAAAGCGGAGCGGAGCTGAGCCATCGGGGTAGGAGGGACCGGGGTGAAGGAAGCATTGTGCCAGCCTGGCATTTTAAGAGCAGTTAATCTCTCTCTCTCAATATTTTTTTTTTTTTTCTTTGTGAAGGATGCATCTGAGAGCGATGCTCGGGAGGAGCGGGGCATCACGAGTGACTAATAGTGAAAGGGACACCCAGGGAAATATTGAAGTTAATATCATGAGCTCTTCAGGAAGGAGCTGTAGTGAGGGCACAGGTTCAAAAGATCAGGGTCAGGGTGGTGGACTTCTCTCTTGTACACGCTAGCGAGTACACAAGTGCCTGTCTAGATGCTCTGTGCAAGCAGAGGAAAAGATTCCTCCAACAGTGTTTGCAGATGGGACTCCAGTCCATTACTTCCAGTTTATGCAGCCTTGTGGATTTTTATTCCAACCTGTTTTGAAATCTTTAATGTGAAATATTTCCCCTCACCCTCCTTTGCTAAGAAAAGGGGGGAGAAATGGACTGAATCTTGCTGGAAGACCCAAACTTTATCAGTGCATGCAGTTTTTTTTTTCTCAACTGGTTATCTAAATGTTAATTTTAGTGAGAGGAAAACATAGAGATGGCTTTGGCTTACAGGTGCACAATATAATATCCACAATCCAGAAGCATGCCGTGGAGTTTTAGTACAAACTAAGATCACCTGTGATGAACTATCAGTCAGTCTGAAGATGTATTTTTTTCTCCCTCCCTCCATTGTTACTTGGAACCAATTTTCTCATAAGAGACAATGATTTAAATGGGGGATTGGTTCCTGAAACAAGGCCTGATACCCTATTTT